AGTTGGAAACAAAGAAGAATCACCAGTAGTGGGAAAATTTGGCCTTAGAGATAGAAATAATGCTGGAGATTGCATGATAGAATTCCCCAAGACCAATAACTTATTCATTGCTGATTGTGCAACAGACCATCAACTGCTCATTTGCAAGTTCAAAGTGAAGCTGAAGGCAATTAAAACAAGTCCACAAGAGCCAAAATATGACCTTGATAATATCCCTCCTGAATTTAGAGACCATCTAAAGAATAGATTTGATGCATTGAACATCAATGACCAAAATCCACTGCAAATACTTTTTTTCAACAATACAAATGACGGCAGTACACATGGACTTCGCCAGATGGAGTACACAGGAATCAGACTGACTACATCTATAGCAAGAGGCAATGGAGAAGCTAAATATCTTCAGCCAAACCAAGGCCAGGAGATGATTGTGGAACAGACCATCAACTGTTCATTTGCAAGTTCAAGTTGAAGACAATTAAGACAAGTTCATGAGAGCCAAAATATGACCTTGATAATATCCCTCCTAAATTTAGAGACCATCTAAAGAATAGATTTGATGCACTGAACACCAATGACTGAAAGCCAGAGGAATTATGGGATGACATCAAGAACATCATCCATGAAGAAATCAAAGGGTCATTAAAAAAATATATCAAAGGAAGAAAAGACCAAAATGAATGTCAGAAGATACTCTGAAACTTGCCCTTGAACAGACAGTAGCTAAAGCAAAGGGAAGAAATGACAAGATAAAAGAGCTGAGCAGAAGATTTCAAAGAGCAGCTCAAGAAAACAAAGTCAATTATTATAATGAAATGTACAAAGACCTGGAGTTGGAAAGCCAAAAGGGAAGAACTTTCTCAGCACTTCTTAAGTTGAAAGAACTGAAGAGGAAATTTAAGCCTTGAGTTGCAACACTGAAAGATTCTATGGGCAATATACTGAATGATGCAGGAAGCATCAAAAGAAGATAGAAGGAATACGCAGAGCCACTGTACCAAAAAGAATTGGTTGATGTTCAACCACTTCAGGAGGTGGCATATGATCAAGAACCAATGGTACTGAAGAAGAAGTTGAAGCCGTACTGAGGGAAGTGGCGAAAAAACAAGGCTCCAGGGATTGACGGGATACCCACTGAGATGTTTCAACAAACAGACGCTGGACTAGAGGCACTCACTCGGCTATGCCACCAGATTTGGAAGACAACTACCTGGCTAACTGAGTGGAAAAGATCCATATTTGTACCCATTCCAAAGAAAGGTAATCTCACAGAATGTGAAAATTATTGAACAATATTATTATGGAAGGAAGGTGGGGCAATCTACTTCCCTAAAGATTTACTGCCTTGGAGACCCAATGGGGGTCACTTTGAGTTGGAAACAACTCAATGGCAATAAGTTTAGGTTTTCTTGGTTTAGTCCTTCAGAGACAGTCTGCCAACCCTTGGTTTAAAGTAAAAATAATACTAATCCTATCTCCAGAGGGCTGAAAGCACACACATATTCTCGAAAGGCCACACAATATGCTTCCACTTAGATAACATTCTAGAAATGATGAGGGTGGAGATGAGAAGCAGGTCAGTGGTTGCTAGGCCACAGAGATGCTGGGGAGGAGTGGCACTTCCTGTGTGGTGACAGTCCTTCATCTTGACTGTGGTGGTGGTGGTTACACACACTATGCAGGGGATAAGACTGCACAGTCACCCGCACACACACGAATGTGTGCAAATGAGTAAGGTGTGCAGTCTTAATTAGCAGTACTGTGCCAATGCCAACACCTGGTTTTGATTCTGTCCTACCAGTATGTAAGGTGTCACTTTTGGGGGAAGATGAGTGAAGGGTACCTGGAACTCTTTGTACCATTTTTGCAACTATTTTACAATGAAAAGCTTATAAGTATGTAGAAGACATGAGACAACAACTGAAAAACTGAGAGGGAGAATAAAGCCCACCATCTTTTACACTATGGGTCAACACGATATAAGATAGGAAGACAAACTGTAACACGTTAAAGTATGTGTTGTGAACCCTAGAACAACCACTGTAAAAAACAAACGGTAAATCTAATAAACCAATTGATGAGATAAAACAAAATATTAAAAATTATTCAATTAATGCAATAAATATCAGAGAAGAAGAAAATAAGGGGGAGGGGACAACAAAGGGCAAAATAGAAAACATAACCCAACCATGTCAATAATTATATTAGATGTAAATGGTATAAACACCCCAATTAAAAGACAAGAGATTGTCAGACTGGATATGCCATTTAATGAGACGCACTTCAAATACAAAGAAATAGCTCAAAAATAAAAGGATAAAAAGATACTCCATGAAAACCAGTCGTGAGAAACTGCAGTGCAGATATTAATATCAGACAAAGCCAACTGCAGCAACAGGAGTATTAGCAGATAAAGGGGCATTTCACAGGGTGAAGAGTCAACTCATGAGCAATGTGACAGCGATCAGTATCTATATACCTGCACAAAGATGGCGTCAGCCCTGGCCTAGCCGCAGGGGGATAATGACCAGGATCAGCCCTCGGCTGACTGCCATGAGGTGCAGACACACCTCTGCCTCCAACTTTTTTACGGATTCTAACATCAGTCGTTCCTCCCGTGACACTCTATTTCTCTGCTGGGTTCGATAATTCATTGCAGTGGCCACACATAACTCACAGACCATACTCACAGTTAGGTGGTTTGTTAAGGAAGTAACAGGGTACAACTTGGGATCAGGATCAACAGGCTACACTTAGGATCAGGATCAGGAAGCTATAGGCAAAGTGTCCCTTCTTCAGCACAGGGCAGCTCTCAGCTTCTCTCAGCCCCCTGACTGAGACAATCCTCCTCTTAGCCCCCTGAGGACAATCCTCCTCTTAGCCCCCTGCGGGCAGGCTCCTCTGGGCCCCCTGAGGACAAGCTCCTCTGAGCCGGGCTGTCCATCTCCACATCTTTGCCACAGGGCCCACTCTGGGCCTGTCACTGTCTTCAGTGGGCGGCCCCTGCCCAGGTTACAGCTCTTGGGGCAGGCTCCTTGCCTCCTTTTTCTCGGCTGCTTCCCTCTGTCTCTAAGATCTCTGTGGAGTGAGCTGCGTATACACACAACTTCTTGTTCAGTTCAAGGCAGGGCCCCTCCCAGCAGGCGTCACAAACAGACCAGTCCCCTCTCGGTAGGCCACAGACACCTCATCTGCAGAGCAGACTACAGCCACTTCATTTGCATAGTCTATAGAACAGTCCCTGTAAGGTGTATCCTCATCCTAGGGCAGGCTGCAGGTCAGGGCCAGACAGACAGCATCACACCACAGGTGGTTCACAGCTTACCCAGGAGAAGTCATCCACCTGGCTGAAGGTAACACACCCTCTGTGGCAGAAAACTAGGGCGAGAGTAACTCCTCAGGACTTGGGGAAAATCTCTCACGCTGCCTTTCCAAAGAACCACAGCCAGAGGGCACATACGGGCTCATTCCGTATTTCAAACAGTTTTGAAACACCCGAAGCCAAAACTGACAGTAGGGAAGAAAGAAATAGAAAAATTCACAACAGTAGTGAGAGATTGCAAAACTCTTGTCCCAGGAACTAGGAACAACGAAGAACTATGACAGAGAGACCCTGGAAGCCTGCAGCCACCAGCTGCTGACTATGCATTACCGTCAAGTACACGCGGAGTAAGCCAGGCCAGCAAATGTTGCAGAACAAACTCCATCTGTCATTATAAACCAACCACCAATGGCGGCCTTCCATCTTCACATCCCAGTGATGCAGGAAGAGAAAAGCTCCATCCTGAAGACAAGTTCAAGGCGGGCAATGTTTTCTGCTTATGTGATTACCTCATAACTGATGAGGAAAGTGCACTAAAGTCCTACGAAATTTAAAAGTTAGTCAAACTATACAATATTACACACTTTAATCTCCTTTAATAAACTACTCTGAAAACCATCCCAGGGAAACGGGATTCCCTAACATGGAGAAATGCTCAGGATGCCAGTAAGCGCTCTGAACCCCTGGAGCCACTCTGCAGCCGCCGGTGAGGACAGGGAAGCGCGCTGGCAGAGTGCCACACGAGGAAGGGAAGCACCAAGTAACCAAGGAGCAACATCTGGCCCCAACGGTGACGATGCAAGTCCTTCTGCTTGTTTTCAAATCAGCCTAACCATCTTTCTTCTGTCTTCCTGAGGTTGCCTACGGGAGGAGGCGGTATGGGCTGGAGACACAAGAAATCTCATGAAAACTGGATTCAACCCCACCCCCGAAAAATAATAATCCAGGCGCTGGAGCCTGATGCCTGCACCGTGTCTGGATGGTTTCCATGTCCACTTTCTGCTCACCCTCGTGCTTGGGTAGGGAAGCCCCAGGCATCCTTGCACTGGGATCCTGCAGGTGCCCTCGCTGGTCCTGATACCGCCTTGCTGGGCCATGTGCCTTCTCCAAGCGTGCTGCAGTGTGTCTGTATGAGGGAAGCAAGGCTTCACCTAGGAGATGATGACCTGCATCACGCCTGAGTCCCCAACAGGCCTGCAGCAACTATGCACTTGGGGCTGAAGGCCCCTCCTTTCACTGGGGCAAAATGGAAACAAGGGTGGGGAAATGCACACTTAATTACAGAACACACAAGAAAACCTCTGTCTATGCTTTAACTACCATGTTCTAGATTCTGTCAAATTGCTTCAGGAGACTCGCATTCTGCAGAGAGGTGAGCAGACAACACCCCTGCGAATAAGAAACACACCGTATGCTCCTGTGGGAAGTTTCTGCACTGCTCAAGCACAACTCCCATTAAGGCATGAAAACGTGGCATTTGATACAAATGACGCACTCTTCCTGGGTGCTTACGGACTGCCTGCTAGCGGACCACGGCTGCCCCATGCCTTTACCCAAATGCTGTGCACACGCGACTGGTGCTCTGCAGGGCAACAACCCCTCCGCTGCCCCACGTCCTGAGAGAACACCGTCTCCTGTCGCCCGTATCTCACGGTGTGGCCCGTAGGAGTGTCCTCACCTCCACTGTCCCCCAGCAGGAGGGCGTAGACGCGCTGGCGCACGGGGCGGTAGACGAAGGCCTGGCTGGGCAGCGCCTGGTCCAGCTCGTCCTCCAGGGTGTTGCTGCATTCCACCTCCCCGCTGCTCATGACGCCGTACACCAGGTAGCTCTCACCCTGCACGTGCTGTGCTTTGGCAACCTGTTCAAAATTACAACACACATCACTGACTTTTCCTTGGGAACAAAACGTGGCTGAGTGCCATCCGTCCCAGCTCACGGGACCCCGTGAGACAGAACCGCCCCCTGGGGGTTCTAGGCTGTCATCTTCATGGGGGCAGGTCACCAGGTCTTTTATCCCATGGAGCTGCTGGGTGGGTCTGAACCACCAAGCTTTCAGTTAGAGCTGAGCGCTCAACCAATGTGCTACCAGGGCTTCTGTGGAAACAAAACAGTAACTGGCACACAGAAGTCACACTTCTGTCACCTGTGTTTTTCTGAAGGCACTCAGACATGGAGTTTCTGTCATTCAAGCACAATGACATCTGCCAGGTGGGTCTGCTTTCCTTCAGTGACCAGGCTCAAACACAGTGAATGAGCCCCTCCTCTTCCCTCCACTCCTGTACCAGCCCCACCATGTTTCCTTGGTAGCATGGCAGCAATCTGTCTGTTTGATTCACTCTGAGCAACTGAGGGCTCATTACCTGCTGCCTCTGCCGTGACAGAAGGCTCCTCCCCGAACCCTGCCCATGGCAGGAGGACCCAGCCTCCTGCAGCCCACTGCCCGGTATCTTCCAGGACACAGGTCCAATCACTCCCCTCCTCAAAACCTGTGGGTGGCCAACACACAGGCCAGCACAGGCTGCAGTCAGTGGACAAACCTGTGCACAGTCCACCACAGCAGCCGACATCACCTTCACATCAAACGGGGGCAACTTCACTGCTCCTGGGGGGGCCCTAGAGCTCCTCACCTTCTCCTCCAGGGACCCCAGCACCCCTAGCTGCTCCTCTAGGGCCCCCAGCACCCCCTACCTGCTCCTCCAGGGCTCCCAGCGCCCCCCCACCTGCTCTTCCAGGGCCCCCAGCACCCCCCACCTGCTTCTTCAGAGGCCCCAGCACCCCTCACCTGCTCTTTCAGGGCCCCCAGCACCTCTTACCTGCTTGTCCAGTGAGGTAGGGCTCCAGTACCTCCTCTTTTGGAAACTTCCCTGAATTCAACCCACAACCATTGCCATCTTTCAAATTCCCACAGCTCTTTGCTGTACTATTCACAGAACATGTCATACACAGTGCACGATGTAAGCTTTCACACCCATCCTGTCACGTGGCCTAACTGGATTTAGACTCCAGCTCTGGGTCCCCATCATATCCTAAGCACTGAGGTGCTAGTGAGCACTGACACTGACCGTCCCCCTGAGAGACAGGATTTCAGCCTTGACATGCTCCCTCCAGTGGGCATGCCTACCTACCTCCAAGATGCCCAGGTCTGAAACCATGGTTACTTCATGCTTGTTGTGAGGGTCTGGACATGTGAGCACTTCTTGCTGGGAGCTGGGGTCTGGACACGTGGACAGTATTTGCTTGTCCAAAGTCTTACTTTGGGATTCTTGGAAAACCCATGGAGATGTCTGTCCTGGCAGGAGATAGGATGTCACTCCTTTATAAAACAGAGCCCTGTTGGGCCCCAGAGGGAGCATGTCTTCCAGCCTCTTCTCACCCTGATGCAAGCGAAGAACCTCTGAGATGTGCTGTGCCACAGCCAGGATGGTGTTGCCCCTTGTGCCTGGGCCCTCTCTCTTGGAGGTGTAGGAGGACAGGCACTTGTAGCGGAAGCTCTCAAACATGCCTTCCGGGACAATGTCATTGCCCAGCAGGCAGGCCAGGAGGGGCAGGTCAGGCAGGCTGAGGCGAAGGCACTCGCAGAGTCTCTGCCGACACAGAACGACTGTGTCTAGGGTGTCCAGGCACAGCTCCCGTATGGACAGGTAGGGACAGGTGTTGTAGATCAGGTAGTCGGTGTCCTCACCCAGGACCCCGAGGCAGCCATCCCCCAGGCCGTGCGCGGCCACCTCGTAGTCCGCCTCCCGCAGGGTGCAATGGGCCTCTTGGCCCAGGGCCTTCAGGGCAAGCCGGGTAAACAGGGCCAGGCCGGGGGGGATGAAGAACATATGCCTGCCGGGCTGCTGGCCACGGGACTTGATATGCTGGAAGATCCGGGAGATCTCCCTGCTATTCTTGTGTCGACGCCTGGCCCACTCGGCACGTTTGCCCTGCTCCACCACGCCATCAAAGAAGAACACCAGCTTGATGCCGGCCTCCGCGAACACCCTGATGAATGTCTGCAGGGCAGAGAAGTACTCCCGCCACTGCCCGCCGCAGACCCAGGACTCAGGTGTGTACCAGTACCTGAGACAGCACATGGCATCAACCACAACAGTTGGGGGGCAGCCAGGATGCTGGCTCCGGTGGCGCTCCGCCAGGTCCCTCAGGTTCACCACCGTGCATATGTGTGGGCAGGTGCTCCCCACGAATCCCTGCAGCCCTCGGACACCCATCACGGAGGACCTGCAAGAACACAAACAAGTGAGCAGTAATGTCGCGAGACATAGCCCTCCGCACAGCAGACGCACAGCAGTCTTCAGCGGCCACGTTACATCTTGCCACCCCTGCCATCAGTCCCTCATGCAGCAGTGACCTGCGTGGGACTGTGAGGCTGGAAGCTATATAGCTGGTGTCTGAAACACCAGGTTTCAGCAGAGCTTCCAGACTAAGATGGATTGGACTGACTCCCCAAAATTAACCAAGGAAAACCCAGGGATCCCAGTGAAGTATTAGCCTATGGAGAGCCTGAAGACAAGTCCCCCAGAGGGGGAAGGCACTCTGAGTATGCAAGGACTGAGACCACAGGCTCGAGGAGACCAACACAACTACAAGGTGACCACGGGCTCCAGCCCAGCACGACTACACGGTGGTCACCATGGGCTTGAGGAGACCAACCTGACTACACGGTGGTCACCACAGGTTCCAGCCCAGCATGACTACACAGTGGTCACCATGGGCTCGAGGAGACCAACACGACTACACGGTGGTCACCACAGGTTCCAGCCCAGCACGACTACACAGTGGTCACCATGGGCTCGAGGAGACCAACATGACTACAAGGTGGTCACCACGGGTTCCAGCCCAGCACGACTACACGGTGGTCACCATGGGCTCCAGGAGATCAATGCGACTACATGGTGGTCACCACAGGCTCGAGGAGACCACACAGTGGTCACCACGGGCTCCAGCCCAGCATGACTACACACTGGTCACCAGCGGCTCGAGGAGACAACATGACTACACGGTGGTCACCACAGGCTCTAGCGCAGCACGACTAAACGGTGGTCACACAGGCTCCAGCACAATGTGATAAAAGAGGACTTACGTATGATTCCACTGCCACAAAACCTGAGTTACCCTTAGAGCTGGGCTGATCTGCAAGGACAGAAAGCAGGTCAGAGGTGGTCTGGGGATGGGGCAGATGGGAGGAGGACTGGCAAAGGGAGACCTGACTTTGGTGACAGCCCTGAGGGTTTCGTGGGAACGCGCACATTCAAAGTCACCAATACGTGCAGTTCACTGTATGTCAAGTATACCTCAAAGAGTTGTTTTTAAAACATCAAATTCACTGAACGTTTGTAACCTTTGAGATACTGACTCTAAATGGAAAACTGCCGATTCTAGAATGTAAGAAAATGTAGAAAGTAGTTCAAAGGATTAGATACCACAACATGGAAAAGATCGAAGCAGACTTCTTTACACAGTAAAATCTGCGAAAGCTGGAACCTATAGAGGGCAGAAACCTGTCAGAGAAGGACAAGTCAAATATTTCCCACAAACAGTGACAGAAAGTGGTCAGATTACAAAGGCAGGAGACTTGCAAGACCCAGAAAAACGAGGCTGCCCTGTGGAGTTCTGGTGCTCACAGGTTCACTGCGGAAAAGGACGTAAGATGTCCTTCCATATGATGGTGCCAACTGAGGTCCTCCACTGACCACCATGAAGGGGGAGGAGAATCACCATCAGCATCAGCCCAAAGCTGATTCCTATGAGGCAGAGGTCAGGCATGTGGCCACCTCCAACCTTTCACCAATTCTGACACCAGCCGTCCTTCCCACGGCACCCTTCCCTCTGCTGGGTTCAGCAATTATTGCGGTGGCCACACAGATCTCACACATCACAGACCATATGCACAACTACTCGGTTTATTAGGGAAGTAAAGGTTACAATTCAGGATCAGAGTCAACTCGGAAGGAACAGGACAGCTACTCCACAGCTGGCATTGCCAGGCCCTCACTCTTGGCGTGGGCCCTGCTTAGCAAGTGTTACAAAGCTCTTTAGCTCTGTGGATAAGTGCCTAGACGTGCCCCACTCAGTCCAGGAGCCTCCTGCCCCAAGGCACTCAGCTCTCTCCCTTCTTGGGCTGGTCCCATGCCACCGACACCACCCCGTGTAGTGTTTAGTTACGGCTGTCCCTTGGGTCTAAGAGGTTCTCAGAGCAGGCAGCCGGGTTCCAAAGGATGCACTCTGCTCCTGGCTCTCCTCCAACTGCCAGTCTCTGGGATTGGCTCCTTCTAAGCTTAGCAGGATGTCAAAACTGGCCAATCCTCTACAAGGGTTCCATGCACTTTATTTGCATGGCCCTATCCAATCATTTCATGGGACTTAGAGAACCACGGCTAGAAGGGCCATATTAAAGCAATCCACCACACCACACTTCACTTAGGTCATCAATAACCAATAGATAATAATAGATAATTGATGGATACCAGTGCCACCCATGGTCAGCTTGCACATTGCACACGTCCCTCCAGAGGTGGCTGCTTGAGCTCAGTGGTCTGTATTCCACTCTTGTCCTCTGTAAGAGGGCTCAAGAAGGGAGTCCTCAGACCAAACAGAGTCCACAACCCCCAGACTGCAGACCCACCACGTCAGTGGGAACAAGGTCGTCAAATGAGAATGCCCTGGCCACCACCAGCTCTGATGTCCGCTCTGCTCTGTGCAAGACGGGCACGCGAGGGCATGAGTGGGCCGAGGGACAACACCTGTGGGTGATCTCCAGGGATTCACTAATTGTAAATGGATACTGCTCCAAATGGTAGGAGGCAGGCCATGTGCTTCATAGACACTGATGACTAAGCAACAGAGTAATTGCGTGGACAAAAAGGCCACATACTTCATGATACCATCTGGCACACCCTGTCTGCGATGTGACCAAACGTGGCAGGAATACGAGTCTAGTCACTGTTAAGGTCTCCCGGAAACTGTGAGCTCAGGTATGAGTGACTTCAACGTGGCCACGGCAGCTGCAGGCTGCTTTGCACTGGGCTTGCGGCTGGCCCACTGTTTCTGAAGCAGTGTGGTTGACCCCCACCACTCAGCCACTGTAGGCTGGCAAACAGGTGCAAGAGTGTGAAAAAGGCTGTGGGAAGAGTATACCCCACACCTCGATCTCACAACTTCTAGGCCAGCGGCCGACGCCCTGCAGCTCTGACAAGCAGGCCTTGGCAGGTTGAGGACGGTCCAAGGACACTGGTACTGACAGCATCTGGCTCTTCTAGAAGCCGAGCCTGGTTCAGGTTGTTCACTGGGAGAGAGGATCCCACTTTAGCCCCACAGCTCCAGAGGGGGAAGAAGCCAGGCCCAGCTAGAGAGAGGGCTCTGCAGGCAGGGGGCCAGAGCCCGACCACCTTCACCGCCAGCTCCTCTCACCTTCAGGGTGGCACCTCTCCTCACCAGTAAAAATGGCTTTCTTTCAAGTCATGTGCTACTAAAGCTGCAGGCGACAGGCTAGAATTCTCAAACCATCTTTTTATTTTGCAAGAAGGCAGGCCCAGTCTTCAGCTTTGATTTTATTCAAATGTGTACCCTCCTCTCTCAGGGCAGGGGTGAAAACTCACACCTTGAATTCAGCTTCTCTGCCTTCCCCACGCCAACTCTCCCTTGAACAATGTATCTCCCCGTGCTCTGGCGGCATCCTGCATCCCAGAAGAGCTGCCTGAAGGAAGGGTTCCTCCCAGAGCTTCAGCACCACCAAGGCTCCAAGGTTCGCCTTCTCCCATCCCACCTCATCCCTGGCCTCCAATGCCGGCCCTGGTGCCCTGAGACAGCAATGCTTCAGCCACAGAAACCTACAGGCCGTGGCTTTCTTAGGAGCCCTGGTGGCGTAGTGCCTAAGGCATTTGACTGCTAACCAGAAGGCAGGCAGTTCAAACCCACCTGCCTCAGAAACCCAAGGAGAGGTCGTCATGATTCGGATGGACTTGACAGCAGTATGTTGCATTTTGTGTTATAGCTTTCTTAAGTTACTCTGTTTCAGGCCTTTGATTGCTGGCAGCACCTACAAAACCCTCTCAAGGTTGTTACTGTAGGACAGCTGCAAAACCACACATGCAACACACACAGAGCTGCCGACAGGCTGTGTGCCCTGGTGAGGAGGTGCGCTTATGACCTCCCAGGGTTTGGTACATCTTTGTTTAGTAGCTACATTATGCCTATAGCACTGCACTGCTCCACTGCTGATGTTGTCATCCTCAGATGCCCACTGCAGACATGCAAAGATCAGATTTATGAAATATTGATAATGTTGTGTTGTTATTAGGTGCCACTGAGTCAGCTCCGACTTGCAGTGACCCTACATACAACAGAATGAAGCCCTGCCCGGTCCTGTGGCAGCCTCACAACCGTTGCTATGTTGAGTTCATCGTCACAGCCTCTGTGTCAGTCCATCTCGTCGAAGACCCTTCCCTTTTTCACAGATGTTCTCCTGTACCCAGCACTATGTCCTCTGGGGACTGCTCTCTCCTGGCAACATGTGCAAAGTACAAGAGACAGAGTCTGGCCACTCTCACTTCTAAGAAGCATTCTGGCTGCATTTCTTCCAACACTCATTTGTCCGTTCTTCTGGTGGTCCACGGTACTTTCGGTATTCTTTGCCAACACAATTAAAATGTATCAATTCTTCCTCGGTCCTTCTTATTTACTGCCCAGGTGTCACATGCATATGAAGCAACTGATAATACCATGGCTTGGGTCAGGCACACCTTAGTCTTCAGAGAGACATCTTTGCTTCTGGACACTTTGGTCTTTTCCAGCAGATCTACCCAGTGCAATATATCATCTGGTTTCCTGACCATTGCTTCCGTGGATGTTGACTGTGGATCCAAGCAAGAGGAAATTCCTGACAACTCCAATCTCTTCTCCATTCATCATGATGTTGCTCGTTGGTCTGCTTGTGAATGTTTCTGTTTTCTTTATGTTGAAGTGTAATCCATACTGAAGGTCTGCTGAAAGTCAAGAAGACTTGAAGCACTTACTGATGAAGACCAAAAACTACAGCCTTCAGTATGGACACTGACAATAAAAGGCAGTAATACAAAAACTAGAACATAAAAAGAAGAGGTATTCAACTTACATCACAAGTGACTTATCCAGGAGTCAATGGGACAGAAGCCCACAGTAAGTCAGGGAGCACCTGGGAAGTCATGTTATGATGTGTGAGGTACAGCACATG